GTTCCTTACATCATCGAGGCCGTCACAAGTGAGTGCCACATTTATACCAAAATCACTGTTATTTTCGTATTTTTATGTACTTTTATAGTACTTAATAATATTTTGAATTAGCTTATTATAAAAGACATTTTAATTTTAGTTCAAGTTTTAGTAATTTTGTTATGCACTTGTTTTTTTATTAGTGGTTTTTAAACTTTTATATTAATGGATAAATCATTTTTATTTCAGTTTTGGTTTTTATTTTCAGTTTTAGTATTTTTGTTTCAACGTTCCTAATTTTCGTTCAAGTTTTTCATTTAATATTTATATTTGTTTTTATTTTATTTCAGCTTAAATTTGCAGTTTTAATTTTAGTTTGTTTTTATTTTTAAATTTGTTTTTTAAATATATATTTCTATTTATTTTTATTTCAGTTTTAGTCATTTTAGTACTTAAACTTAACTTACTTTATTCCAGTTGCCCAGCAACATTTAAAATTTTCGTTTAGGTTTTTTTTTTAAATCTAATATTCATTTTATTTTAGCTTTCATTTTCAGTTTTAATTTAATTTTAGTTTGGTTATGTGCTTTTGTTCTTTTTATTTATTTATTTATTTTTGATATATTGCTTTAAATTATTTTTATTTTATAATTTTTGTACTTTAAACTCGTTTTATTTCCATTAGTTGCCAAGCAACATTTCTAATTTCCATTTGTTCATCATCTAATATTCCTATTTTTGCTTTAATTTTTTAAGTTTTCATTTTAATTTTTGTAACTGTTCCTTTGTTCTTTTTATTTGTTTTTTTATTATTTATAGCTTTAAATTATTAAAGTTTTAGTTTTAGTCATTTTAGTACTTAAACTCATTTTATTTCAGTTAGTTGCAAGCAGCATTTCTAATTTTTGAAAGTTTTTCATCTAATATTTATATTGTGTTGTATTTCAGCTTTATTTTAATTAACGAAAATGATTGAACAATTTTAGATTTAGTTAACTATAACACTAAATCATACTCTACACACTCCTGCATTAATAACTGTATGTGTGCGCAGGTGAGGACCCCCCCTCAAAGACAGCAGAGATGTACCCCATGTTCCTGGTGCTGCTGGCTCTGGCGGTTCTGGCGCTGGCGGCTGTGGGCGTCGTGGTCTCCAGGAAGAGGAAGAGGGAACACGGGCAGCTTTGGTTCCCCGAGGGATTTAAGGTCACAGAACCCAAAAAGAAACGAAGGGAACCGGTTGGAGAGGATTCTGTTGGGCTCAAGTGAGTGTGTGATTAAAAAGACAGTGGCATATATAAATATTAGATAAAAAACTTAAATGAAAATTTAAAAATGTTGCCTTGGCAACTAAATGAAATAAACTGAAGTACTAAAATTACAATAAAATTTAATTAAAGGTAAATGAAAATATTTTAAGAAAATAAAAAAATTACAAAAACACATTACAAAATTACTAAAACCAAGATTAAAATGAAAACTGAAAATACAAAAATTCACAAAAACAGACATCATGTAGTTGCACGTAACTGTTTTCCACTTTTATCACTCACATTAATGATAACATTCCACTTCACATCCTATCAGGCCTCTGAAAAACTCGGACAGCTCTCTGATGGATGAACAACTGAGCGAATGGGCAGAAGACGACACGGCTAAACGGTTCCGGGTGAGTGATGAAACATTGTCTGCCGTCTGTTAGAGCTACTCCATAACTCCGGATGAATGTGCAACGGTGTGTATTTGTGTGCAGTTTGAGGAGCAGTCTATTCTGGACATGAGCGGTCAGCTGGATCACCGGCAGTGGACACAGCAGCACCTGGACGCCGCCGACCTGCGGCTGAACTCTATGGCTCCGACTCCACCGCAGGGCGAGATCGAGAACGACTGCATGGACGTCAATGTCCGCGGGCCTGGTGAGCGCTTGCACCTTTACCATCACTTACTGATGACAGCTCTGGGGTTTTCTTTCAAACTGTCCTCGGTTTCTCTCGTAGACGGCTTCACTCCGCTGATGATCGCATCGTGCAGCGGCGGAGGTCTGGAGAACGAAAACGGCGAGGGAGAAGACGATCCCTCCGCTGACGTCATCACCGACTTCATCTACCACGGGGCCAACCTGCACAATCAGACAGACCGGACCGGCGAGACCGCGCTGCACCTGGCTGCCCGCTACGCCCGCTCAGACGCCGCCAAACGCCTGCTGGAGTCGTGCGCCGACGCTAACGTTCAGGACAACATGGGCCGCACGCCTCTCCACGCCGCTGTTTCTGCTGACGCACAGGGAGTCTTCCAGGTAAAAATACAGATTATATCCAGCTTACCATGATTCAGGAGGGTCTAAACTAAATTAATTTGTGTGAAAGCAACAACAGCTGCATGATAAAAGATGTTATTAATATTATTATTAGTAGTAGTAGCAG